TTATAATTGAGATTGATAAACACTGACTTTATTTATTTTTATAAATATGTTAAAATAATTTTTTATTAAATAATTTATATTTATAGTAATTTCCCTTAAACATTTTCATAAGCCAATTCATTAGCAATGGAAGGCTCATTCTCTCATGCATTAGGACATCTCCTAGCATATCACTGTACTATCTCATATAAATGAGGAAAAACACCTTATTACTTTGCCCGGCAACCAAACAAGAAATGGGTATGGCACACATCAGAATCAAAGAACTGTAAAATTTGATTCAGAACCCATTCAAGCAAATTGATAAACCAATGCTCAAAATCATCAAGGAAATCTCAGAAAGAATATTAATCTCTATGCATTCAGTTACATGATAAAGGATGATCTAAACTTTTCTCATGACAATCAGACGATCAGTATAGAAAACACCAATCAAATATGATCATCCATTGGAACCTTAATATCTGGATTTATCAATAGCCGAACATGCTGAGAACAAGAACCACAGGGGAGAATAACTGATGCTGGCAAAGCATCAGGAGTTTGTAAAGATAATCCTAGTCCCATCCCTCAACAACTTATACCCAATTTTATACAACTCTGATGAATCAACAGAGAAGTAATCACCACATCGACATGAGTAAAATAGTTCCAAGACTTCTCCACCATCTTCAGCCATCATTTCCTCTAAGGAAACGTCTTCTGCAGCTATTGAATCCTGTCTTGAAGCTCGCAACTCACTATCATAGACAGCACGAGATTTGGGATTGCTAAGGATTTCCCAAGCCTTTTGTACCTTCAGAAAACTGTCTCCTGATTCATTCTCAGAAAGTTGTTTATCAGGATGAGAGTTTAGGATGGCAGACCGATAGCTCACTCGAATTTCGTCATAGCTTGCATCTTCCTTCACAGACAGAATGCCATAGTGAGTTTCTTGGGTGGAATTACTGCCAAGTATCATGATGGATAACGGATCACCATTGTTTAAAATGCAAAATCCACTGCAAAATACACAAACAGATGGTATGAACAGTTCTAGCAGAAACATTCAGTTTACTAGTTGAAACTTGAAACCAACCAACATCTTCAATACTTCATACAAATCAGACGTTGAATTCATATTTGAAGATCTCCAGAACACTGAAAATGGTTTCACAATGCTTTGGTAATTGATAACAGGGGAACTCCAAGGAACAATACCCGGCCAGTAATTTTTAGTTCAATTGACTTCAAATTAGTGGTAACATTCAGAATCAAGAACCCTAAACAGAGATTTGTATTTACTGATTATAGAATTAAGATTTAGGAATGCATGAATATAGTCAGGCATTAAAGCAGGACGCTAATTCATCATACAACTGCATAGTTGCAGCTACACTCTTCCTTAATTTGAATTCGAAGAGGAAAGGTGGAGAAGAGTGAAAAGGAGATAAAGTGAAACATTCCTAATCGTAAGAGGCCGCAGCTTGGAATCATCTTTTGCATCCCGTCCAAGCAACCCCTAGGAATTGGAGAAGATGACCACACAAGATTAGCGTTGGACCAGCCTCTTCTGTATTTTGAGCGTTTCCCCTGTATTTGGTACATTTATTTTCATTTTCCCGTTTTTTTAAGTGTTAATGAAATATTTCACCGAAGAGCGTTACTGAAATAAGAAAAGACTACACTGCAGTGCAATATAACTTGTCCGTCAATCAAAAATTACCTTACCTTTAGTCGCACGTTAAGAATATTAAGATAATTTTATCTGATTTGTGTAATCATCTTGTAGATACATTGCCCACATTATTATAATTCAACTTTCTTATATCTCCATTCTTACCTTTCTAATTGTCTCAATTTTTCATAGTTCAAAATAATAATAATAAGAAGAATATTAACAATGTAATATATATATTATTGTTATAATAGTGTTAAAAAAATAAAATTGACTTTTAATTTATCATTTATTTAATTAAATTTATCTACTTCATAATAATGTTAAAATTAATATTAATGTTTATATTTTTTAATATATAATTATGATAAAAAATAATTTTAATCTATATCACGAGTATAAATTAAAAAAATCAATAAATAAAAAAAAAGTAATAATTAATATATTTTTTAAAATTATTTAAATGTTCTTAATAAATTCCTTTTTTGCTATAATTCATTAAAATATTTTAAAACTTTCATTGTTATTTCTGACACATTAGTTTTTTAAGACATCTTGATTTTCTTCCATCTCATAAATAAGTTGTCAAACTAAAAGGATAAAAATATAAAATAAAAAATCAAACGTATTATAGTAGTAAAAGATGGTAAATATTTTGCTAATTGTGCATAATTAAGAAATTAAAAATCGTTTCTATCACAACATTTTGCCTTTTTTCCATCGTCATCAATAATCCACAAAGAGAGTTTCATGTCAATAACCTCAACCAGGCACTGAGTTACATTGCTTGGAATCATCAGTACCATGACCGCCATTAACATTCGACGGTCCAAAAAATTGAACCCCTATCATCTAAACAACAACACTTCTCCCCATTCCCCAAAATCAATCGGAAAAATGTAAAACAAGCAAACACCAAGCTTCACTGGAAGTCCACCTGTGGATGATACAGATTTCAGCAGAACCAGAGTCAATTCTCTCTTAATTGAGTCTAAAATGTGGCAGATTCACAGTTTGTTTCTTGCATCAATATCTGATCATACACTAACAACACCAGAGACCCAAGGAACAATCACGGGAGCATTTGGATGGGACCTTCTATATGATTCAGAATATCTGTCCTTAAAGTTCAGTCTTGGCTTTTCTGCCTGTATTCATTTAACACGAGAATCACATCAGGTTGATGATTCATGAAAATTATACAGACTAATTTGCACTATGCTGCAGAAATATCATTCTTGATCAAGTGCTAATTTAATGTACAAAGATGGATACTTACAGCTTTCAGCCAGCATTCCATATGTTTATGCTCGTAAATATCTGGGGAATAACAACCACCCTCTAATGGGCAGTAAACCCATATATTGCATTTCTTTTCACCTGGCCTTGCATGTTTCGCCTGATCTGAGCAAGCTTGGCAGCAGTCGGCTGCACTTTCTTTATGGTGTGTAAGGCCCCACCTAACAGCAGCACCATCATAATCTGTATGAAGTTCAGTATGACATTCTGGTGGAACTGGCATTCCAGCTAAAATTTGTTCCTCCTCTGTAAAGAAGTATGCCTCAGTTACTGGCTGACACATCTCATAACAATTTTTCATTTTCAAAGTAGATAACCAAGTGAGCACAAAATAAACAAAATAAACAGGTATCTGAGTTTTATGCTGAAATGTAAAAAATCAATTCAACTTTGATCTGCCATTTTGGTAGGGGAATGAGAGAGAGAGAGGAGAAAATTATAATTACCAATATCTTCCACACCCTCAGGTTTATCATCATGTTCCTGATGAATAATTTCATCAGGTATCCAAAGCCCCATGTCTTCTGAGAGAACAGCCCAATCAACCTCCAAGGCTTTCACTAGCATCCCTACAAAATAGCCACAGGGGAGTGGTAAGCACTGAGGTTCTTTTGACAGAAGGATAGTTAAGCTCTTTTTTTCCTTCTTCTTCCATTTTTCATTTTCTTTTCAAATTCAAAATGAATTTGAAATTTGTTGGAGGGAAACTTGGTTTTGGCCAAAAACATAAATAACTCAATTTAATGGTAGTTTTATTTTAATAAAAATAAAAAATTTTGTATTTAAATTACAACATAAG